TTGTTTGTAGTTGGTATAGTAAATCAAACAGCAGGGAAGCAGATTTATAAACGCCTATTGGGCTGGATATGTTGTAATCCGTGGTAATGGTCAATAAGGCATGTTTTTGTTATTACAGTCTTTAGTTTTATGAATAAACATATGGAGTAGTGTTGCTACAAGACACACACACACACAAAAAAAATGTACATCAATTCATGAGGCTAAGAATTTGAGTACATGCTGACTTGGTAGATGTATATCATTGTCCTTGATCTCTTCTGATTGTGGGAATCTTGCTATAATATTAAAAGGAAGTCAAGGCCCCTTAAAACAATGTTAAAACAAAGCAATCTAAGGAGTCCTGCCCTTCTATGCATCCGTGATATTTACCAGGGAAACAAGACCTGTCCAACTACAGCTGAACAAACTACTTAAGTCGATCATATACCGCGAAAGACATGATCATGGACGGGAAAACCTCAAATGTGGTAACAGAAGAAGAGATAGATAAACATAGTGTTTGAAGTCTCATGGATCATAAAAACTTATAACAAAGATTGGCTTCTGTATGCACCGATCCCCTCACGTTGATATAATCTCTCGACGGCAATACTGCAGTTCGAGTCGTGCCTTGGTTCTATAGTGACTCTTGTATTTAAAGGGATAGTTCACTTTGAAATTAATTTTTGATATGTTTTAGCTTACCTCAAGAGCATCCAGGTGTCTTTGTTTCCACAGTTTTTTCAATTTTGATATTTTTAGGTCAAACCGTTCTTGTCTGGAGTCATATAATGGAGGTCGCCACCTCAAAGAGCATGCACAGAGAAGTCCACATCGTAAATGTAAGTACACATTGATGGCCTAAGACACGAAACGAGCAGTTTGTGTGGGAAAACGAACAGTATTTATATCGTTTTTACCTATTCTGGTGGCGAAATGTGCATCATTTCATAAGTGGATATTCGCCTACGCGTAAAAAATGAAGTATAATCTGGGCTTTATTGTGGCCATGCAGGTTAAAATCCTGAAATTCGGTCAGATGTTAACATCTGGTGGCTCTTTGCACTCTATTTACAGCCCTTGCCTAGTGGACAAGATAGTGCACTCTTCAGTATGTGGAGAAACAGAGAATGTATATACACTGAGGCCCCGTCCACACTACTGCGTTTTCGTTTAAAAACGGAGAATTAAAACGAATACGATCTCCGTCCACACCAGCGTTTTGTCTGCGTATTAGAATTGATCTCCGACCACATTAAAATGACTGAAAACGCAGATCACGTGACCATTCACCAACACTGGGCATGCGCGTGCCGGTGTAAACAGTGGTTGGCGAATCAGGGAAGGACACGTCATGACTGATAACACCCAATCATAGAGCCGAGCGTGAGCCTCTGCGTCATCGTTTGTAAACTCCTCCGTTTTGTCTCGTCCACACTAAAACGCCCTCCGGAGTTTCAAAACGCAAAACGCAGCTGCAGCGTTTCTAAACTTCTCCGTTTTAGGTCTTCGTTTTTCCCGTTTTAGTGTGGACGGGAGGTGCAAACGTAGCAAAAGGTCTCCGTTTTTAAACGAAAACGCAGTAGTGTGGACGGGGCCTGAGAGGACTGCAGAGTAGAGGAACGTCATACTTTGATCTGCTAATTACTGTGGAAAATTACCTGGCAAACCACAGAGCCTTTTTTATCTAACAGCATTAGCAGACTTTTCCACGTTTAAAGGACCTTTATCTTGCCTTTATTGCACCATAAATCTGTAAAAGCACTGTAAGTGGTACAGGTCTGTGTACTGTTAAAGTGCCAAATGATTAGTTATTTTGATGCAAATGCAATTGGATGCACACCTCAGATGACAATGTGAGTTGGCTGTAGTTTAAAGTTGTTTCTAACCTCTTTGTAGTTGGTAGAGATGTTTTACTATGGATATTGTCAATATTATATCTGTTGTTGGGTATATTAAACATTCAAAAGAGTGTTTAACTGTTATCTTTATCTTTCTTTGAAGTCCTCCTTAAAGCAGTAGTTCACTTGTGCTGATAATTTACTCACCCCCATGTCATCCAAGATGTCCATGTCTTTCTTTCTTCAGTCGAAAAGAAATTAAGGTTTTTCATGAAAACATTCCAGGATTTTTCTCCATATAATGGACTTCAATGGGAACCAAACGGTTCAAGGTCCAAAAGACAGTTTCAGTGCAAACTGCAGACTGTTCGAATCTCAAACGAATCTTTTCCCGAGTCAACTCGTTCATTTTGTTCGTTGAATAAACCAAATGACACAGAAAAAAGATTCGTTCATTTTGATGTACGAGTTCGAATAGGAGAGTCACGAACGTGCATCACAGAACAGAGCAAGGCGACCATTTGAGCTTATAAAACTTTAAATTTATTAAATGAGCGATCGTTTCGCTTGATAAGACCCTTATTCATCATCTGGTGACGTTTAAAGCCCTTTGAACAGTTTACAGTTTGCACTGAAACTGTCTTTTGGACCTTGAACCGTTTGGTTCCCATTGAAGTCCATTATATGGAGAAAAATCCTGGAATGTTTTCATCAAAAACCTTCATTTCTTTTCGACTGAAGAAAGAATGACATGGACATCTTGGATGACATGGGGGCGAGTAAATTATCAGCAAAAGCTTTTTTAAAAGTGAACTACTCCTTTAAGAGGCCATATCTGCACTTTGCTGATACCATTCAACACCGAGTACCTAGAACTATAAACTGATCTCTATGGAAATGGCGCCAGGTTTAATGAGGTTGTCACTAAATTAACTGTCATGCTAGCTCTGCTAAAGACAGCTTCTAAAATGTCCCCAGGCGGGAGGGGTGCGAGGAGCACTAGGCATGATGGGTCTGTGAGGCGGTGCTGTGGCATAAGTGGCTCTATTTCCAGGGGGCACAGGGCACAAACATAAAGCCATCCAATAAAGGGGCATGCACCCTGCTACTGTGGGAGAGGTCATAAACATTGTACCAAAGAACAGCACTAAGACATGAAAGGAGGCCAGCGCCTCTCAAATCACCAGCTGCGGTGCATTCATATCACCTGCTTTTGTGTAGGAATGCATTTGTGCATATTACGCCTACATATATAAACACAACTCACTCCCACGTGCATACAAAAGCAAGCCGCAAAACAAAGAGCATAAAATAACAAAGGCATCATGCAAGCCTCTTGTCAGATTTAAGATGGGACACATAGTTTAGTCTCACGTGGAGTTCTCCGCCCCCCCCAAGGTATTGCTTTGATTCTTTATTTCGCAGTGTGTCCTCTCTTGTCTCTTAACCAGCTCCCCCTGCCCTTAAGTCCAGCTGATGGGAGACTCTTTTGTCCAGTAGCACCCAGGCAACAACATCAAAGGATTCAGGGTACAGCTAAAGAGTTCCCCCCAAAACAAAACAAATTCAAATCTAAAACAGAGTTCCCAAAGTGGTTTCTGGAAAGGAAACAAGCTAGGAGTGGACAAAAGAATGTATGGAAGCTTGTTTCTGCCACTGAATAAAAAAAAAAAAATAAATAATTGCGACTTTTTATCTCACAATTGTGTGTTATAAAGTCAGAATTATGATATATAAAGTCAGAATTCCATGATATAAAGTCAGAATTGCATGTTATAAAGTCAGAATTGCGAGATATAAAGTCAGAATTGCGAGATATAAAGTCAGAATTAATAGATATAAAGTCAGAATTGATAGATATAAAGTCAGAATTGCGAGATATAAAGTCAGAATTGCGAGATATAAAGTCAGAATTGCGAGATTTAAAGTCAGAATTGCAAGATATAAAGTCAGAATTGTCGAATATAAAGTCAGAATTGATTGATTTAAAGTCAAAATTGTGGGATATGAAGTCAGAATTGATAGATATAAAGTCAGAATTGCGTGTTATAAAGTCAGAATTGTGAGATATAAAGTCAGAATTGCAAGATATAAAGTCAGAATTGCGACATATAAAGTCAGAATTGTGAGATATAAAGTCAGAATTGCGAGATTTAAAGTCAGAATTGTGGGATATAAAGTCAGAATTGCAAGATATAAAGTCAGAATTGCGACATATAAAGTCAGAATTGCGAGATATAAAGTCAGAATTGTGGGATATAAAGTCAGAATTGATAGATATAAAGTCAGAATTGTGTTATAAAGTCAGAATTGATAGATATAAAGTCAGAATTGTGAGATATGAAGTCAGAATTGCGTGTTATAAAGTCAGAATTGTGAGATATAAAGTCAGAATTGATTGATATAAAGTCAAAATTGTGGGATATAAAGTCAGAATTGTGAGATATAAAGTCAGAATTGCGTGTTATAAAGTCAGAATTGCGAGATTTAAATTCAGAATTGATAGATATAAAGTCAGAATTGAAAGATATAAAGTCAGAATTGTGAGATATAAAGTCAGAATTGCGAGATATAAAGTCAGAATTGCGAGATATAAAGTCAGAATTGCGAGATTTAAAGTCAGAATTGTGGGATATAAAGTCAGAATTGTGTTATAAAGTCAGAATTGATAGATATAAAGTCAGAATTGTGAGATATAAAGTCAGAATGGATAGATATAAAGTCAGAAAGAATTGCGAGATATGAAGTCAGAATTGCGTTATAAAGTCAGAATTATGAGATAAAGTCAGAATTGATAGATATAAAGTCAGAATTGTGAGATATAAAGTCAGAATTGATAGATATAAAGTCAGAATTGTGTTATAAAGTCAGAATTGTGAGATATAAAGTCAGAATTGATAGATATAAAGTCAGAATTGTGTTATAAAGTCAGAATTGCGAGATATAAAGTCAGAATTGCGAGATATAAAGTCGCAATTCTGAGAAAAAAAAGACAGAAGTGTGACTTTTTATCTCACAGTTCTGACTTTGTAACTCGCAAGTCTGACTTTATATCTCCCAATTCTGACTTTATATCTATCAATTCTAACTTTAAATCTCGCAATTCTCACTTTATATCTCGCAATTGTGACTTTAAATCACTTAAATTGCTTTATTACCTTTTATATTTTTCATTCTATGGCGGAAACAAGCTTCCAAAAGAATGACCTATAATTGGCTGGTTGAACAATTTCAAGCTCAATGGGAAAAAGTTTGAGAGCTTGAGAGGAAGGTACAAATTTTCTTTCCACTTTTAGAGACATTTTGCTAAACATCTCATTTTACATTCCACTGAAGAAAGAACGTAATAGGGGTTCGGAACAACAAAGGGTGAGTAAACGATGACAGAATATGAATTTTAAGCGCACTAATCCTTTAATGACAACCCCCAAATTACCAAGTATAATAGAGATGGTAATCTTTGAGATTTGTCTTTGCATTGATCTCTCAGGGAAGACTCTAGTCCTCGTAAAAGACATCCTTGTCTGTTGTCCACCCTCTCCAACGCTGGCACCAGGTTGCCAACCGATGTTGCGCAACCCCTCTAGTCAGTCCGACGACAGA